AGAGTGGACAATAGGATGTAAGCAGACGTCTCTTAAGGACCTGTTCAAAGCCAGGTAACTGAGGAAAGCAGCAAAGATTAAGGCAAACCCCTCCCATCAGGGAAACTGACTACTTAGAACTCTCTGCACCATCAATCGGTAAATACAATCAATCAATATATACAATTACATATTACTCTACATACTGCTCTTTTTTTGGAAAGTGTGGACAGATTTAGCAATTAACCTGATTCTGTTAAAAAACAATATACAGTTGATCTCGGTTAGAGAAGTGCCAGAAGACATTTGGGAGACTCTCACACCAAATGGAAGAAGATCCTATGGTCTGATGAGACCAAAATGTGATAAGCTTAAGGCATAAATCGTCACGAATGACTAGAATGACTAGAGGAGGAGTGAGGAATGACTAGAGGAGGAGTGAGGAATGACTAGAGGAGGAGTGAGGAATGACTAGAGGAGGAGTGAGGAATGACTAGAGGAGTAGTGACGAATGACTAGAGGAGGAGTGAGGAATGACTAGAGGAGGAGTGAGGAATGACTAGAGGAGGAGTGAGGAATGACTAGAGGAGGAGTGACGATTGACTAGAGGAGTAGTGAGGAATGACTAGAGGAGGAGTGACGATTGACTAGAGGAGTAGTGAGGAATGACTAGAGGAGGACTTAAAGCTTCAACAGGTGATGTTTGAGAAAGGGAGAGCTGACACTTGACCAAGCAAGGGGTGAGGTTTGACTGGGGGAGGGATGATGTCTGAGGAGGAGGGAGGACGGAGTTTCTGGGGAGAACGGATAGAGTTCCTAATATGGATGCTGTATTCACGGGAGTATATAGGGGTCCCATTCCCGTTTGTCTCTGGTTGATTATTCAACATCTTATTCTCTAGCATGCACATGTGACATGTTTCCGTTGCTTTCTATTGCCTTCTTCTTCAGTTTCCTTCTAGTACACCTATATTCCTTGTTTTGTTAGAGGTCTTTCTTCAAATGTTATTTGTTGACATCAATTTTGAGATGAGACCAAAATAGTGGTTTTTGGAAACGAACACTACCGGGTTTGGCGTAGAAATAAAGATTGCAATGCAGAAAACGGCCTTATCCCAACAGTACAAGTATGTAATCATCCTACAGCAAAACAATGATGCAAAGCAAACCTCAACATCAACACAGAATTGGATGACTGACCACAGAAGGTTTTGCCATGGCCATCACAGTCCCTTAACCAAACCATATAAACAATATGCAGGATGAGCTAAATAGGAGAATCTATAAGCGCGGACCTCGGAGCCTGGAGCATCTGGAGAGATTCTGCGTGGAGGAATGGTAGAAGATCCTTTGCCATCTGTTCTCAAACGTCATTGCGCATTATAGAAGAAAACTCAAAGCGGTTATCTTGGCAAATATTAACAAAATATGTGTAAATATTATGAATGGTATGGTGAATGTTTTGCTCATAGTAACTAACGGTTTGAATTTTAGTGCAGAGCTCTGTATATGTAGCAAAAATGTCATTATTTGACACAAAGATATTCTCACATCATCTCAGTAAGACATTTTGCAGATAATGCTTTATTCAATACACGACAGCACAACATTAACTATCACTACTAGTTATTGTTTGACAGCTTTTTAATATCAGCATTAATTCAATACCTTCTACATTTTAGAAAACATATACATTATATATTCTGGCTGAATACAAAAAAAACTCTTTGTATCCAAATCCTCTGTGCAAACTTAAACAATCAAAGTCATAAACTCATGTTAATATTAATCCCTGAAAAAGGTGTAGTTTACCTGTGCTTTAAATCTTTAACTATCAGAACCGTGAATAGATTTTACACAAGGCCATAAGACTGCTGAACAAGGCTGGACCGAAATAAAGATTGCCAATGTGAATTGATTATCTATTGTCAGTTTTCGCACTCATTCCTCCAGGGTTGAAAAGATGTGCACGCACACAGACACACACAAGACTTGGAGCAAACACACTCTACATAAAACGACCTAACACGATTGCATACAAATGCTGCACATACATACATTATCAAGGCATTGGACAGTGACACATGTTTGGTTATCTTAAACCTTGAAATGATACGATGACTTTAAGGTTTATATTCAGGCTTGTCAGTTTTAATATTTGTATGCCTATTTAAACCATTTAAAATGTACAGCATGTTTTCTACATGTTTGCTAAATTTAGAAGAAAAAACATTTGGACAATTGGCTTCCCAATGTGTAAGAGACTGCCTCTGTTCCCCTCTATGCCAGTGTGGCCACTCCCCTTGCCAGCAGTGAGAATTATTCAAGGACAATGTCTTACACCTGTGTTTGTTTCTCACCTGTTCTGTGTTAAGTTCGTTAGTGTCTGCATTTAGCTTGGTCTGTGTCAGTTTGTCTGTGTCGGTCATTGTTTCAGGTACGTTGGGGTCTAGGTCTAGGTCTAGGTCTAGGTCTAGGTCTAGGTCTAGGTCTAGGTCTAGGTCTAGGTCTAGGTCTAGGTCTAGGTCTAGGTCTAGGTCTAGGTCTAGGTCTAGGTCTAGGTCTGTGTCATGTCTGCGTTCCATGTCGGTATGCATGTTACTTTGATGTTTGTTAGATGTATTTCCTTGTTCGTTCAAGTATTTAGTCTTCCCTGTGTCACTGTGTGAGTGTCGGGCTTTAAGGTATGTTGGTTCGTTTGTATGGAGGTTTTGTGCTTAGTACTGTATTCCTGTCAGTCTGTGTATTTGTTGTCTCTGTTGGGTTTGTCTGGTTGTGGTGCATAGTCTGTGTCTATATGTTTATGAGTCCTGTCTTTGTTTCTAGTTACTGTACCCGTTTAGTAGTCCTTGAGGTTTCATTCACTGTCAGTCCTGTTAGAGTCTTTGTGTTTCATACTGTGTCCTGTCTGTTAGTCCGTTTGTGTTTAGTTCGGTTCTAGTCCATGATTTCTTGTGTTTTAGTTTGTGGTATTCCTGTTTTGAGTTTACTCCTTGGTTTGATGTTTTGGTTTTGTTTCAGTGTTTCAGTTCTGATGTTCAGTGCCTGTTCTGCCTGGATGAAAATAAAAACCCTGTTTTGGAAAGGATTCTCTGCAATTGTGTCTGTTCCTTGCCATCTGCCAAAAGGCAGATCGTGACACAATGCACAACTGTCAATATTAAGTGTTTTTTTTTTTCTATGATTTCATTCATACACATGCTTTTCATCCAGTCCTTGTTTTACAAATATTTATATTTTTGTTATTATATATAGGCTACCTTTAACTATTAAAGGGGTAGTTCGTCTTCGATTCATGTAAGTGAAATTACACTTATCTTGAGTTGTTCTTGAAAGCCAATAGAGTCATTTTTCACAACATGCCATTATTCATATACTGTGTGTCCCAGGCTGAAATTAGCATTATGACTGTTGCCAGAATTCATAATTTAAACCGCGCGTCCCTAGCAACAAAAGCTACGCTGCGAACGATGACACCTGGCTGCCGTAGCCAATACCGATCTAACCTAGTGAATTACAGTTGGGGTCCTCTATCTGTCCGGATTATATGTGTCTGCGTTTGAGAATGACTTTTAAAATCATGTATTGTTGCTAAAAATATTACAGCAAAGCCATAGAATACATGTCCAACACATTAGCCGGGCAGGGGGTGGAGTTAATTTAAATACGCTTTTTTTCACCTTTTCTAGGTGGAGGACGGTCGCACCATTGGGTGGTAAGAACGGAGAAGAGCTTCGAACAGGCCGAGCTGAAGCTGCCTACCATAACATTGCCGTGCGACGGCAGAACAAATTGACCAGGTAGTGATGCGCGGTTTAAGCATAGTCTCAAGGCCCAACGGCTAGTACCATGGTCATGTAGTTAATGGGAGCTTTAATTGGAAGCCAGTGGAGTGTGTAAAGGAGCGAGGTGACTTGGTCGAACTCAGGTACATTGTCCCCCTCGCTTTCTAAACTCTGAATGCAGCTGGCTGTAACCTGTACTCATTTTATTAGCCTATACATTAGCCTCTGCCTAGACACTAGCTCCTCTTCTACGGTGAAAACACAGGGCGCTACATGGTCATTTATACAATAATAAATGATAAAGCTTAACTGGCCAATATGAACACAATAACGTGTCTTCACTATCCCTTTACCAGTATTTGAAACCGGGTTTTATTACAAGCTCGACTTACCTTGGGCGCATGGAGTTCCATGTGGTTAGGGCTCTATTTAGTACTGTGCGCCTCTCAGCTTCTTTCCCTGACATAAGGGCTGTGAAGAGATCTGTAGTTGCCGTGTATGGTGGATATGAGTTTCTGAACTGGGTATCAAATTGCCACAGCAGACAGCTACACCCGCAGAAAGACCCCCCAAAATGCATGCATATTATGGACCTTTGCACTCCAATGACATTCGACTGATATCTATATACGCTGCTTTGTTCAAGGAAAACCACAATTTACCTTGTGTTTGTTGCATCAGACCAAAAGTAGGGCAGTAGTCCAGGTGCTTCAAAACAAAGGCATATAAGACTATCTGTTAACTGAGGTGTCAAGAAAGCAGATTATTAAATCTATATGTTTTGAGAATATTAGCTCGCTACTTGATCATCATCATTAGTCACCTCCGCTTGCTCCAGAACCAACAGTGGATGGGTTTTCTGCCTAAAAATGATCCTGGCTTCAAACTCATTGCAACAATCACGATCAAGGATGACCACTTTAGACAAAAGCTTTGTAGTTAAGTGGACCACGCACTAAAGTAGTAGCAGCAGTGGGAAAATGACTGTCATTTGGCAGACCACATGAGAGTCATCGCCTTTAACATTTAACAACGGCTGGATAGACAGGCTATATGCTACTCCATCCTATCCTTTTTCCAGTCGAGGGAATATGAGATTTCAATTCGGTGTGATGTCAGCTACACAATGCCAAGACCACAGGTTTCGAATCACACCAATCGGCCAGACGTTTTATTTATCTCCCTCTGGCGGTTACCCAGGGTGATTTACAGTAGTAATTGCGTACATGTTTGCACTGACCCCAGTAGGAATCAAAGCAACAGCTGTGGTGTTGTAAGCATCACGCTCTACCAACTGCGCTACACAGGACCCAGTTGAGCCGCATGGGAACCATATAATTGGATGGTCCCAAATGAGATTGTATACAGTTTTAAAAGCCTGATGGGTTGCGACGCAAAAGATTCCCAGGACAGATATGGCGGCCAGAGTCCGACAGCAGTGATTAAGAGGACTAAAGAACCAAGGAAGTCAACAACAAGTAAGATGTGTAAATATATAGTTTCATGAATGAATTAGGGGCTTTGTGTTTTATATGACCATGTGGTTTGTAACTCAAGGAAATTGTATAATTGTACTATGCTGTAGGGTTTACAGCAAGAACCATGTGTTCAAATACGTTTATTCTGAACATTCTGTTGTCCAGATGTGATTTGATGTATTGCTTGCTTGTGTCTTGTTTCAACACAACGTCTGCTTTTTGACCTGTTTGAATGAATTTTGAAACCAAATTATTTGTGTTACTCCCCCATGAATAATTGTGTGAGAAGAACATTTGATTTTAAGAACATTAGTTTATTATGAGGATCAGTGTTATGAAAGAAAATATTATAACTAAGTACAATAAAAATGTGCCAGTTTCAATTCAATACAATTGAGAATTATCAGACGTGTGCTGCATTGTGGAAATCAGAATCAGAAAGTGTGTAACTGCTCTTATTTGTATTTTTTTACTTAAATATTTTTGCACTAATGGGCCAGAACAAATTCCTTGTGTTTATTCAGAAAGAGTGTTATTGCATATAGCTCCGATTAGTTCAATTTGTCCAAAACTGGTCAGGATTTTTAATTTTAATCAGTGTTTTTAATTTATTTATTTGGGTCATATAATGTCCATATATTGTCCTTCCACTAATTGTTTTTAATTTCAACCACTTAAGATGTTTTTATTTCCACAATACATCAATATTTCCGGAGAAATACAGTCGCTTTGGCTTCACAGACACTGCTCAGCTCAGCTAGACATGAAAGTTCCAGAGATTTCCATTGGGTGTAGCTAGGAACTTTCAACATGTCTACGGTGTATTTTTGCCCAGTACTTCATATACTGTCAGATGAGCGTCATATCACTGGTTGCAATGAAGTTGAAGACTGAAAACAGCATTATATAGTCAGATCCTTAATAATGAATACAGAGCTCTTAAGGTAGTCCGAGACAACTGGCAACCTCGCTTATAAACATTTAATAACGAGAATGGTGATAGGATATAACTTTAATGTGATACTGTGGAATTATGTATTAAGCCATACACTTGTCCTCAATGCATTTTCAGAGTACTGGCAAGGCTTTTAGACAGCAGGTCTGGATGGCTATATATAAAGTCCACTTTAAAAATGGGACACTCATGTTTCTTGCCGGTTTTATAAAGGGTCACCAGTGGAATTTCTCGTATAGCGCCTACTGTTTAAGATTCAGAAATATAATGGTTTTAGTCCGTTGAATAATTGATCACACAATATTTAATATTTAGACAATTCAGCGCATCCATTAGTTCATTGGAAGGATTTTTATAATGCCATCTGGCATCTTGAAAAGATTTGTATTTGCCTTTATTCATGCGCAAGCTTACAGGTGTGGTTCTAATGTCACTGCAATGCTACAATTAATAATATTAATTGTTGTTATCATGCAATAAAATATACAATTAAATACTCATCCAGCAACCAAAGCTGGTGTTGTCAGATCCAGCAGTCTGTGGAACAGAATTTACATGGTAGGTCTTTGACATCCTTTTTGATCAGATCTGTCTATAGCTATGCCTTGAATGAGACCAGATACTCTGAAGCCCAGATAGTGACTGTTCCACAGTTGAGCAGTTACACAACTCAAACCGCTAATATACATATTTTTTGTGTCTGATAGCAGATGGACCTGGAGAAGCAAACGGGGCATGTATCTAGAGGTGTGGATGGGACAAAGACTAACCGCCAAAAATGTAGTTACTTGCATTGCCTTACATGGATCTATTAGCAACAATAAAGCAAAGGGAATTAACTACAATGTGGTTTTTATAGTAGGTGTTTTCAGTAAACTATTTTGACATCGAGTTTGTGATAATTGTATTTAAGGAATGTAAGTCTGAGTTTAAGTCTAGTTTGTGTTTAGACACTTTAGTGTGTTACCCTCATTTGACTCAGAGCAGTTTTTTTATATTATCAGCATTTCAATGTAAGTAAAGAAGTTGGGAAACTACTTTAATTGGCAAAATATATGGACAATATCTGCCAGCTGGACAACCTTGATGTGAACGACAAAACATAGATGATATCAAGGATGATAGGTAGTTAAAGGTGTTAGCTAACATTATCAAACATTGCAGCTCTCAGGCAGCAGGTAAGTGAATGCTAGCTAGCGAAATGCCGTCTGTCAGTATTATAGTATATGCTAGTAGCAAAGGCTGTCAGGTAATATTTCTATAATGTGATTAGGCCTGCTATTTTCTCATTGCTTAATGTTGTTGTTAAGGTACTTACTTGGATATTTTTATTTTCAATGCCAGTGTAACCATTGTCTTTCCCATGGATAATACCACCTCTAGAGATTTATGTTTGATAAGTTTGTAGAAGGTGCATTTCAATACGGTTATATCTGGAGAATCCCAAAACCTTCATTTGAAGTAACCTACTTTAGATGGGCAAAACGCAAAATGTCAAGTAGTTCATTTTTGACCAAAGATCAAGTTACTGCGGTTAGCTTTTGGACGGCAGAGCTTGGTAATTGTTAACTAGGATTTTAAATACAGGAACCAGTGAAAAAGTTTGAAGAAGTTCGAAAGCAACTGGCTTGCGCTCTAAACTGGCATGTGTGACAAGAAGCATGCACTTTTTTGATCAAAAAGCCAGCCAGTCTTTTTTTTTCAATTTCACAAATGTTTTCTCCTGCAACTTATTCCTATGTCGTAATTGTACATGAGAAAATTATTGTTTTTCGCGGAAAATATCTGTTTAAAAAGTGTTTATTATCTCTATAGGGGCTGTATAAAATCTCTATCATTCTTTCAATAACTGTCCCTCAAATTCAGTTGTAATTGCACAAACGCCAACACAAGGTGTACTACAATATTCCATGCAGGTTGTGCCAAAGGAGCGGATTATTTGCCTAGTGTCGCCCAATGGTTGAGCGTGACAGCATATGTCGCAACCTTGCAATTGTCTGTCAAATAGCAGACTTTCAAATTGCACACCCAGGTTGCGGGACATGTCGTTAATGTGTCAGTGCCAATTAGGAAAAGTTCTGACTTCTCCCAGTTTTACTTGAGGATATGTAGTGTAACGCTGCAGACGAGGAGGCACGACTCAAGCCCAGGGCGCTCAGATGATGTTTAGTCAAAAACAGAGATGAACAAAACAGAAACTAAATCACAACACAAAACAGTCATTGGCAGAACCAAAACAAAGACTACGGGGGAGAACGAACCTAAAGGAACCTAAATATGGTCTGGGATGAAGGAAAATAGGTGTGGGCGATACTGATCGAAAGCAGGTGTCCGTGATAAAGTGAGGTCGGCTGCCAATGCAGAATCTGACACCTAGGGCTTGTTCACAATACGCCAGATTTATCAAGACGTTCAAAGAAGACTCAAAACGTCCATAACTCTGATGTGTACATTTTCAGATATCTGCCATAGTATGAAAACCACTGTGTCTGAACTGTATCAAATGCCTGTGCAGTCCTCATGCATATCCCCCGATCTTCAGTGAGAGCATGGCAATCGTTGGCGATGCAACATGAACATGCCAGTATAAACTCAAACAGTATAGAAAGTATCAGGGAAACTAAACTATGCCCATCTAGCGTTTTATTTAGGTGTAAACAAGTCCTAAGCTGTATCCATCACATGACCCACAGGTAATTGATGATGAATGCTGGGAATTGAAAGTGAACGTTTTTTTGGACGCGCAGCTTAGTGTTAAACTGATTGTGTACTCTATGTTTTTCGTGGTGACAGCATTAACAGTACATTTTGAAACAGTAATGGCCGCAGGACTCAGCCTTAAGCGACATACCGGCAGTGTGTCTGACCTACTAAGGTTGATGGCCACAAACTGGGAGCAATCAGTGAGATCCTGGGACAATGTCTGAAAGGAAAGTGTTCACGCTGAGGTCAACATTTCAAAAATAATGCCAGTTGTTTGTATTATGTGGTGTGAGAACAGTTCAAAGAGCAATTATTGAAATGTCACTCCGCTTGTGGATGGCTGTTATAGCCAGGCATGACCTATGTCTTCCTGGTTGCTACATTTCTATATTCATTGTCTTTTTGGTGTGTTTCTATGTTCCTTAATTTGTTCCACCTGTGTCTCGTTTACCCCAATCAGATCTGTATTTAGTTCATCCCCCTAGTGTTTGGACTGATTCATATTTGTGTCTGTCACATGTGTTATGTTCCATGTTACAGTTTGTTTTGTTTTGTGGTAGTTCTCAATTTAAATACATTTCATGTTTTACAGTAATTCTGCACCTGCCATGTTTAATCTCAGCTGTGACAGGATGACTCGCCAACCGGAGGATGAAGTTAAGATGGACTGTAGCTGAGCTTATTAGCTAGGTTAGCTATCAAAACTCTTTATTGTCTGAATTTAACCAATTCTTAATTTCAAAAATGATTTATAAATGTCAGGGCCTTTAGGATCTAAACAATTCCTTCACCAAAGTCACATTTCTAAAAAGTATCAGTTTAGGGGTTGAAGTGGAATGTCCAATTCCTTTTATATTTGTGTTTTTCATTTTTCATTTAGGTGTTTAGAGATGGCATTTGGAGACGATAGGGGAAGAATGCATGTCTGCTATGGTCAGTTACATTAACCATTGTGAAATGTAAGTCACTGACTAATTAAAAAAAATAATGAACTTACAAGTTTCATGCTTACATGGGTTACTCCCCCATTGGCTGACCAATACTTATCTGATACGTTCTAGTCACATCTCTCTGGAACTAGCAATGAATATCAACACATTGAGCCACATGTCCTTCACATTATGCTGCAGGCTCGTTGCGTGTCTTTAGCAATTACATTTACGGGATTCACAGGT